CATTTCTCAGTCATGTAATTTCTTATCCACTTATTTTTTCCAAGTATACATCTACTGCACTTATCTTCTTAATTTCGTTTTTCCTTTAAGAATTTTTGTTATCTTGTGTCCAGAATTCTAAAATATTCCCGGAAAAACTCTACTAATCTGTGCGGGCTAATATTTAAGCCGGTTAATTTGCCGATGACATCAAACATGCCACTCGCATTTGAAAGCCTTTTATTGACATTTCGCGAGGGACGCGGTAAAGTCGCTCTAGGTATGAAATAGTGAAAAACTAACTGTCTTTAGACCACTCTTTTGGCGATATGGAAACTTCTCCGGCCCGCACAAGAGACAAGAAGTGGATCTTTGAATATTATCCGGTAATTGAGCGCTTGTGTTAAAATTTAATTTCTGTTGAATTTAGGAGGATTGTAAATTCGTTACTGTTCGTTACTATTTCACGAATGTCATGTACGCCGTTGGTTTGGGTGGTCGAGCAGTTTTCTTTGGAATTTACGAGCATGCTTATTCTTTCTTTGTCATGTTATGACCAAAATTCGATTTCTATTTTGATGTGTGGACATTTTTCATCGTATTCGATTCCTTTTCTTTCCGGACGCGTTGTCAAGTTATTTGCATAATGCGTTTATAAACATTCAGTCGTCGCTTTCGATAAATCACTTCAGTTTTCTTCTTTCTCGCTATTTAGCGATACGCATGAAGGCTACTATTTCAATAACAGATTATATTCTGCTATAAGTACGATTCTTGACCGGGTAATTTGATGAATAAGCTATGGCTGTGATCTGACACGTGAAGTAAATACAAGATCTTTTGTATTTTAACCCGATGTGATTATTTTTCTCTGTTTTAAAATGAACACCAAGAGTTAATTCCTAAGTTTAGATTTCTTAGTTTTTTAAATTTTATTTGCGTGTTGAAACGAATGTTACACATGATTATTGTGTGACATTCCTTTTGGTCTGTCGTCACGCAACCACTTGAAATAATGATTATGTCACACACTCTAATCGTTGCTTTGGTGGTATCTTTTCTAATCGAATTCCCCCAAAATACAATTGCGTCGTACTGTTACTTCGCTTTTACTCCAAAGGACAGCTTATCCGCTCAAAAAAACTGACATTACAGTTTTGTATCAAACACTAAAAGTACACCAAATTAGATGATAAAATGGAAGTGCTAACCTGTTATCGTTACATTGGACATAACATTGTACTGATCTGTACTTCTCCAGGAAGGAGCTGAGAAACAAGCTCAGTTAGAAAGATCACTAAGGGAGAAGACCGCCGTGGAAAAAGAACTTGAAAAGGTGAGGCTTCTACAAGTTATTTCTCTCTGTTATGGTAGGAAAATGTATTTCAAGGCACTTAATTCTGATATTTGCCTTGGATAGCAGACCACTTTTGAGTTATCGTCTACCAGGGTTGGCAAAACCCTTACAGTTAACCCTTTAACTCCCAGAAGTGATAAACACATAACTTCTCCCCACAATATCCATACGTTATCCAGCTAAAAGGTAATGAGAATACTCAGACTTATCGGGTTGAAGTTGTCATCTAGATCTAACACCAAATTCTCGTAACTAACATACCAGGCAATGTGTAGCAGCCAGAGGGGAGAATTAACAATCAGATCTTGAGAGTTAAGGGTTAAGAGTAAACCAGACGTAAAAGGTGGGAAATATTCACTTGAACTTCGAACCACGAACTCTGAAATCGCGGGCTCAATTCTTCAATATAATCCGTGAAGGCAGACAAGGATTCCCTAACTCTGCGGAGTTTTCTCTTTTTTTTTTGTTTTGTTTACCTTTGTAAGAGGTAAAACTATCCATGGGTGGATGAGGAGGGGGAAAAAAGCACGTAAAGGAGGCTGGAGAGGGAAAAGAGGAAAGCGAGACCTATTGCTCGTTCCATCGTTACTAGAGGAAACATTGGAAACGAATTTGCCATCGCTCTTTCTCGCGTACTTCTCATTTTCTTTTCAGTTTAAAATGATTTGCTTATTAGTGTGAATTTCTCTAGTGGGGATATGCAGCGGGTAAAGTTGAGATTCCATTTTTATGACCCCATCAGCTGACCGAAGCCTTAAGATTCTCTTTGCTCAACTTTCACAATTGCAAATGTTATGAAACCTTTTTTTTCCCGCAGCTCTACCAAGAAGGTCCGTCTGAGATTGCGCGGGCTGGGATGACTTTTGAAGAGCTACAGAAACGAACTGGATTGGCCGAGAGAACCCGGGACGAGGCTTTACGGAGAGTAGATAGCCTTAATTCCACGCTCAGAAAGATAGAAACAAAGTAAAT